TGTACCCATTACTTATGCTTTCACTGTCTCTCAACCGGCTCTTGCTCAAAAGTCCAACAATGATCCACAATTAAATGCTCATGATGCCCAACATTACTCTCCAGAACTGACTTTCAAGGTTCCAGATTCATACAAGCATACTCCTCAGAACATGTTCCCAATCGAGATCGAAAAGCCCGACAAGAATATGGAACAAGAGGAAATGACCAGAAAAATGAAAAGCTTGGAACAAACCATGAGAAACATATAGGGTTTGGGAGGCCACAAGAGTGTTTTGTTTAACGATCTATGCATGTTCCCCTATGTTCATTAGCCACCCGGCTTCAAGACCCCTAAGTTTGACAGGTATGATGGGCATGGTGATCCCGTTGCCCATTTGAAGAGGTATTGTAACCAATTGAGGGGAGCAGGAAGCAAAGAAGAATTACTCATGGCTTATTTTGGGAAAGTTTAACAGGAATTGCTTCAGAATGGTTCATAGTTCAAGACATCTCTCACTGGCATGTTTGAAACGACATGGCTCAAAATTTTATCCAACAGTTTTAGTACAATATTGATAGAGTGCCAGACCGTTCCTCTCTCGTCAACATAAATAAGAAACCAACAAAAGGTTTCAGAGAATATGCAATCAAGTGGAGAGAGTAGGCTGCTAGGGTCAAACTGCCAATGAAAGAGGCAGAAATGATTGACTATTTCCTCCAAGCTCAGGATCCTGATTACCTCCATTGCATGTTGGCCGCCATTGGTAAACCCTTCGCTGAGGCGATTAAGATTGGAGAAATAGTTGAGAATGGCATGAATTCGGGCAAAATTGTGAGTCAGACAGCTCTTAAGGCAACCACACAAGCAATTCAAAGCGGGTCAGGCAGTTTCGGAAATCGAAAAAAGAAAGAGGAAGGATCCATGATGGCATCTGGGTTCGGGGGAGTTCAAAGAGGAATAGTTCCCTCTTATGTGCAATTCCAACAAGGACAATCCAATTCTCCTCAACATTATTATCCACATCAGGGTCCCCGATACTCCATTTCCCTACAACAATACACAGTGTTTAATACGCAGGCTTATGCTAGGCCTCACAATCACCAACAATGGCGGGCACCGATTCCACAAGGCTCCAGTCAAATCCGGCCGAATTTTCAGGCACCATATAATCCGCGTTCCCGATAGGAATATGTGAGAGAACAGGAGCCAAAGAAAGAGTTCACCCCAATTGGAGAATCATATACAAACCTATTTCGAAAATTGATGCAGTTGTGGTTGATTGAACCTATCATGCCGCGTTATCTGAATCCAAATTTGAAAGGTTTTGACTCAAATGCAAAATGTGAGTATCACTCTAACACCCAAGGTCATAGTATCGAAAATTATTGGACGTTAAAGAAAGCCATTGAAGATTTGATTGAAGCAAAGGCAATTGTGGTGACAAACAATGAGGATACTCCTAATATCACAAACAATCCACTCCCAACTCATAATAATACACATTTTATTGGGATGATTTGTGATGATCGGGATTATACGCAGTCTGGCAAGACAGAGATGGTTGTTGGAACCATAGGGAAAGAACCAAAAGTGATAGTAAGCCCACCGCAATTGGTATCGTTGATTGTGAAAGGTGCGAGTTCTAGCTTGAACTTGGTAGGTTTGGGAAAATCGATTCTCTATGTCGCTGGAAGCACAAATAGAGTTGAGGTTCAATGGGGTGGGCAAAATTTTTACATCCCTGGGGCATTCAAAAGATCGTTCCGAATAATGGTTTGAGAAATATAATAGAGTCTATCGTGATTTGCCCTGTTGCACAACTCCCAGTGACAAACACGAAAGCTATTCCTTGGAATTATAACAAGACTGTCATGACATACAAAGGAAAAGAGATAGTTGAAGAAATAGATGAAATGGGGGCTTGACCCGCTCTGGAAGGTGCTACTCACTAGAGGAATTGAGAAAAGCTAAGCAAGGCAGGGAAAGTCACTTGCTACTGAAAGAACCCATTGTAGAAAAAGAAGCGGAGGAATTTCTTAAGAAGATGAAAATGCAAGATTACTCAATCATTGACCAACTAAGGAAAACCCCTGCTCAGATATCTTTGTTATCTCTGCTTTTGCACTCGAAAGAGCATCGCCGTGTGTTGATCAAAACTCTGAACGAGGCATATATCGTAGAAAAGACAACGGTGAATCATCTAGAATAAATGGCTTAAACATTCTTTGAAGTAAATAGAATTACTTTCAGCAATGATGATTTGCCTGAGGAAGGAGCGGGGCACAATAGAGCTTTGCATCTTATGGTCAAATGTGAAGGGCACTACGTAAAATGAGTCATGATTGATGGAGGCTCAAGTGTAGATGTATGCCCTCTTTCTACTCTACAACAGCTGAACATTGACACTAACAGAATTCGAACTAGTAATGTCAGCATCAGAGCTTTTGATGGTTCAAAAAGAGACACTATTGGGGAAATCGAACTCACCATGACAATCGGCCCGGTTGATTTCAACATTGTCTTTCAAGTGTTGGATATGGAAACTTCTTATAATTTTCTTCTGGGAAGGCCGTGGATCCATATGGCCAGAGCTGTACCATCCACCCTACATCAAATGGTCAAATTCGAGTATGACATACAAGAAATTGTTGTTCGTAGGGAGGACGACTCATCCGTCTATAAAGACCCGTCCCTTCCATGTATCGAGGTCAAGGAAGGGTGTGAATCCATCATATATTAAGCTTTTGAGGTGATTGAGGTTGACCAAGTGGAAGAAGGAAAACCAATTCTGCATCCCCGTCTTTCAACCACATCCATGATGGTAGCTGCGCTGATGTTAAGGAACGGCTATAAACCAGGAAAAGGATTAGGATCCTCTCTGCAGGGAATTGTGAACCCTATTTCTCCTTTTTCGAAGAAATATACCTTTGGCTTGGGTTTTAAACCAACATCAGCCAACATAGACAGAGCCAAGGCCCACAAAAAAATGGTTGGAATTTTTCCAAACCAATCCCTTACATTGCCTACTCTTTTGTCAAGCCACAATTTGAAGAAGTCCAAAATCCCTCTACTCAGGATGACATTGATGAAGTTTGCCAGGTTCTCAAGGAGATGTTCTATGAGATCAATATGGTTCAAGTTGGTGAGGGCCTTAGCCGTGCAAGTGGTCAGTTGATTGGTCCAGATACCTCGCTCAACAACTGGGAAGCAACTCCGCTTCCCATCAGTAAGGAGTTTTGATAGTCTGTTTTGTTGCTTTTTCTGTATTTGGATTATTTTAAGGGTTGTAATCCAGATATTTTAGTTTAATTGCTTTGCTTTAATGTTAACACTTCTATCCTTTCAAATTCAATGAAATGAAGTTCCAGTTTCATAGTAAAATTCTGTCTTTTCCTTTCCCTAATTTTTGTTAATTTATTATCATTTTCAGTTTTGTTCACGTTGGCTTTAAAAACATGACATGCATGCGGAATTTATGCCCAGATCTTAAAAAGCTGTCTAATCTCGAAATAATGAATTAAGAAGTTGAGTATGATGAAGATGGGGCTTTTAAGGAGATAAAAAGGGAATTTGATCAATTTGAGAATAAGCCTAAGCTAACTTAAATGAAACAGAGGCAATTAACCTGGGAAGTCCTGAAGAAACCAGAGAAACAAAAATAAGCATTCATACTGAACAAAAGACAAGAGATGCCATAATTCAAGTTTTGTTCGAGTATAGAGATGTATTTTCTTGGTCGTATGATGACATGCCGAGTTTGAGTGCCGATTTAGCGGTTCATAAGATTAGCACATACCCTAATTTTCCACAAATCTAACAAAAATAAAGGAAGTTTAAGACAGACATGAGTGATAAGATTATAGAGAAAATCACAAAGCAACTAAGTGCAAATGTGATCAGGTTCGTCCGATATACCACATGGTTAGCAAATGTTGTGCCAGTGCCAAAAAAGGATGGGAAAATCAGAGTTTGTGTTGACTATAGGGATTTAAACAAAGCAAGTTCGAAGGACAACTTTCCCTTACCCAACATTCATATCCTTGTTGACAATTGTGCTAAACATGAGATCCAATATTTTGTGGATTGTTATGCCTGGTATCACCAAATTCTGATGGATGAAGAAGATGCAGAAAACACTGCCTTCACCACTCCATGGGGAACTTATTGTTATAAGGTCATGCCATTTGGTTTGAAGAATGCAGGGGAAACTTACATGAGAGCCATGACTACCATATTCTATGAGATGATGCACAAAGAGATTGAAGTGTATGTTGATGATGTGATCATTAAGTCCAGAATACAAGCTGACCATGTGCAAGACATGAAAAAGTTATTTGAAAGGCTACGAAGGTACAATCTCAAACTCAATCCAGCCAAATGCGCATTTGGAGCTCCTTTTGGGAAGCTTTTGGGTTTTATATTTAGTCGAAGAGGCATTGAGTTAGATCCCTCCAAGAAAAAGACCATTCGAGATTTGCCTCCCCCGAAGAACAAAATAGAAGTCATGAGTTTACTCGGGAGGTTGAATTACATCAGCAGGTTCATCGCGCAACTTCCAACCTCATGTGAGCCCATTTTCAAGTTTTTGAAAAAGAACGCTGCTATCAAGTGGACAGATGAGTGCCAAGAAGCTTTTGATAAGATCAAGGAATATTTGTCAAATCCCCCTATTTTGGTCCCGCCGGAACCTGGTAGACCACTATTTTTATATCTGTCAGTAATGGATAGTTCCTTTGGTTGTGTTCTGGGCCAACATGATGCCGCAAGCAAAAAGGAACAAGCAATATATTATTTGAGAAAAACGTTCACCACTTATGAGGCCAAATACACTCTTTTGGAAAGGACATGTTGCGCCTTAACCTGGGTCGCCTAGAAGCTTAGGCATTATCTTTTGGCCTATACAACTTACCTCATATCCCGAATGGATCCCATGAAGTACATCTTTCAGAAGTCGATGCCCACTAGCAGGCTCAAGGTGATTGGGAGACTCGAGACATCAAGCTCATTCCATATAGACAATGTGTGGACACCTTAGCAAAAGGTTCAAATCCATCGAGTTCAGGTACATTCCTAGGTTTCACAATGAATTAGCTAATGCCTTGGACACCCTCGCCTCAATAATTCTATACCCGGGTAATACTCACATTGACCCATTAGAAATTAAAATTCGGGATCAACATGGTTATTGCAACATAATTGAAGCAGAACCAGATGGTGAACCATGGTACCGTGATATTAAACAGTATCTAAAAACAAGAGAATATCTGAAACATGCTAATAGGGATCAAAAGAGAACTATTAGGCGACTCTCTAATGGTTTCTTTTTTAGTGGGGAAATCCTATACAAAAGGACTCCGGATTTGAATTGGTTGAGATGTGTGGATGCCAAAGAAGCTGAAATGATTATGAATGAAGTGCATACATGAGTATATGGTCCGCACATGAATGGATATGTTCTAGCAAAGAAAATCCTTCGGGCAGGATATTATTGGCTTACTATGGAGCGAGATTGCTTTCGTTTTGTTCGCAAGTGCCACCAGTGTCAGATTCACAGTGACTTGATTCACTCACCTCCTTCAGAGTTGTATCCTATGTCGGCTCCTTGGCTTTTTGTTTCTTAGGGAATGGACCTCATTGGACCAATCAAGCCAAAAGCCTCAAATGGGCACATATTCATCTTTGTTGCAATTGATTACTTCACCAAATGGGTAAAACTATTACATTGAAAGAAGTTACCAAGAAAGTAGTAGTAGACTTTGTTCACTCCAACATCATCTGTCGTTTCGGTATTCCAAAAATCATTATCACAGATAATGCTGCTAATTTGAATAGTCATCTGATAAAGGAGGTATGTGAACAATTTAAAATTGAGCATCACAATTCTACTCCTTACCGGTCCAAAGCTAATGGAGTTGTTGAAGCTGCGAATAAGAACATCAAGAAGATTCTTAGGAAGATGATACAATGGTCTAGGCAATGGCACGAGAAACTGCCTTTTGCTCTTTTGGGATACCGGACAACTGTACGTACATCAGTTGGCGCAACGCCCTACTTATTAGTTTATGGCACTGAAGTAGTTATACCTGCTGAAGTTGAGATTCCCTCTCTCCGAATCATTATTGAAGCAGGGATCGATGACACTAACTGGGTCAAGTCTCGATTGGAATAGTTGAGTTTGATTGATGAAAAGCATTTGGCGGCAGTTTGTTTTGGTCAGTTATACCAACAAAGAATGGAACGCGCTTACAATAAGAAAGTGCGCCCAAGCCAATTCGAGGTAGGACAACTTGTTTTGAAACGTATCTTTCCGCACCAGGAAGAAGCAAAAGGAAAGTTCGCCCCGAATTGGCAAGATCTTTACCTCATCAAGAAAGTATTGTCAAAATGAGCTCTACACTTGTCAGATATAGAAGGAAAGGTGACTGATATATCCATCAACACAGATGCGGTCAAGAGATACTATGTCTGACATGCCTCTGTTGGGTCACTTTTATACTTAGCATTCTCAGGTTGGGATGATGAAAGGCTATCATTCTCGCTACCCAAACACTGGTTAACCCTAGTTAGCCCTTTGAAGCCTTGTTTATATTTCCTTGTTTTCCCCTCTTTTGGAACCAATGTACTTAATCGAAAAAATAAAATAGATAAATTTCATCAAAACAAGTTCATGTTAATTGAACTACGTCCGACCTGATTCCTAAAGAATCGTAGGTAGCCTCACTCTAGGGTTCGGTCACACCAAAACAAAAATCCACATTTCCCCAGTATTCAAATAAACTGGGGCATGATTTTATTTTATTTTTTGATGATTGTTCCATCAAAATGGTTCCAAAAGTTGTAATTCAGTTAAATAGTTCTTTTTACCTTTCCCTGCTAAGACCTTCTGATCAACTTTTGAGAATGCTAAGTCAGTATACTATGGGTAATGCCTCAGCCATTGAAGAGAGAAAAAATAAATAAAAGAGTCTTATTGGTGAAAACCTTCACGGGCACTATAAGGCAATGGTGAGTTGAGAGAAAGGCAAATGAGAGAGGTCAATTGGTGAAAACCTACAAAGGGCATCATTGATCGATTTAAGGCTTCATACATCCCGACACAAGCATGATTAAGACAAAAAACTCAGTTTCATAATTAAGCTTACAACAAATTTCGAGAATTAGACGGTTCAAACGGATCGGGCATCCAGACCAAAGTATATGTCATGTTCATTGAAGTCAGCATATTTCCTCCAGATAAGTCCTTTCTTATTTTTTCCTCTGAAAGGGAAACTTCTTGATTAAGTTATAATACTTATTTAGTTCACCTTCTTATTTTCTTTCACATTACTTTTTTGAGTCCCTTTCAGTCTAATTTTGTCAAAGCAAAGCAAAGACAAGGCCGCAAAATTGGTTACAGTTTTCCCGCTATATAAAGCAAAGATTGCTGGGCATAAACCGTATGGGCAAAGGCATAAATCCATTTGTGATTTTTTCTGACGAACAAAAGGCTTAAAGGATTGAACAATGTTTCAAGGGTTAACAAAAGTTACTCAGTTAAAAGTTATTTTGGGAGTAAGGGTGTTTGGACAATGAACACAAATGGTGATAGGTGCAAAATTGTTAGGTTTTGATGTTGAGAAAGAAGATCTCCAAAAAGAAAAGACAGAATCTCCCAGTAATTTGTACAATCATCGACGGAGTCAGTTTTTCTAACAAGTGTAATGGACGAGGGTCAAGTCGCCCAAGAAATCAAGGCCACAAACTGACCACCATTTTAAAACTAACGAATCTTTCTTTGTTCAGAATAGGAACATAACAATTTTAGGAAATAATTAGTTTTCTACATGTAAGTGAAATTCATTATAGGGAATCAATACTGTAATGACCCGACCGATCGTTTTGAGCTCTAGCACATCATACAATGGTTTGAAACCCTGAGCAGCTTCACTTCAGGTATTATAACTTGTACGCGTGGTCGGAATTTAACTTCTAGAAGTTCGGAGTTGATTTGGAAGAAAAATTCTAATTTCAAAAGCTTTAAGTTGGAAGAATTGACTAAGGTTTGATTTTTGAGTAAACGACCTTGGAATCGGGATTTAAAGGTTCCAACAGGTTTGTATGATGCTTTTGGACTTAGGCGTATGTCCGGATCGGGATTTTTATGACTCGGGAGCGTTTCGACGCCTATTGTGGAAGTTTGGCATTTTGAAAGAATTTCATAAATTTGAGTTGAAGTGCATTTCAATGATATCGACAACCGTTTGGGATTCCGAGTCTGGGAATAGCTCCGCATGATGATTACGATCTTGGGAGCGCGTCCGGATGTGGGTTTGGAGGTCTGTATGCCATTTTGGGGTCATTTGGGTGAAAGTTGGGAATTTGGATAATTTTGAAAAGTTTGACCGGGAGTGGACTTTTAATATCGGGGTCGAATTCCGATTTTTGGAAGTTGGAGTAGGTCCGTAATGTCAATTATGACTTGTGTGCAAAATTTGAGGTCAATCAGACGTGATTTAATAGGTTTCGGCATCGATTGTAGAAGTTTGAAGTTTCAAAGTTTATTAAGTTTGAATTGGAGGGTGATTCGTGTTTTTAACGTTTTTTTATGTGAATTTAAGGCTCGACTAAGTTTGTAATGTGATTTGGGACATGTTGGTACATTTGGTTAAGGTTCTGGGGGCCTCGGGTGGGTCCCGGGTGCTTAACGGAGCAAGTTTTGGACTTAGGGAATGGCTGAAGTGCACCAATTCTGGTGTAACTGCACCTGCAAGGTTAGGGCCGCAGGTGCGGAGCCGTATAAGCAGCCATAAGGGTCGCATAAGCGGCTTAGGCTGGGGAAGGCTGGGACCGCAGATACGGTCGAGTTTCGCAGAAGCTGGACCGCACCTGCGCACGTGGAGCCGTAGGAGCGAAGGCGCATAAGCGTATGTGGGCCACAGATGTGGAGTTGAGGGGTATGAAGGAGGACCGCAGAAGCGGTAATTTGGCCGTACCTGCAAAAGCGCAGAAGCAGTCAAGGGACCGCAGGTGCGAGAGGTCGCTGGGCAGATTGTTTTAAAGAGCAAGATTTGGCTCTTCTTCTCTCATTTTCCACTTGGTTGATGCGATTTTGGAGAGCTTCAAGGAGGGATTTTCATCAAAAAACACAAGGTAAGTGATTCCCACCTATTGCAAGTTAAATACTTGGATTATATATGGATTTAGACTTGAAAATTTGTAGAAATTTGAGATTTTGGTAGAAAATCTAGAAATTTATATTTTTTGATTTTGACCACGAAATTGGACATGGAATTTGGAATAAATTATATATTTGAGTCAGTGGTGTCATGGGTAAAGTTTATCTTCGAAAATTTTCAGAATCCGGGCACGTGGGCCCGAGGGTGATTTTTATCGACTTTTCAAGCGGAGTTAGGAACTTTTGTAAACTGAATTAAAATGAGTATTAGGGTATATATTTATGGGTTTACACATTTATTGACTTGTTTTGGAGCGTTGGGAATCGGTTTGAGTTGTTGGAAGGGCTTGGGAGCCGGTTATGGAATTTCAGAGAAAGGTAAGTCTCTTTTCTAACCTTGTAAGAGGGAACTTACCCCATATGCGAACTTAATTAATATGCGTTGCTATTTGTGGGGGGCTACATACGCATGAAGTGACGAGAGTCCGTACGTAGCTACTATATCTGTTTATGTCCGGGTAGTTTTAGGTTTATAGCATTCTTGTGGACACCGTTATTTGATTATATTTATTAACTGTATCAAATGGAACTTAGTTGAGGATTATTTTTTAGGATTTAAAATCTTTGAGTCAAATTGTCTTTATTTTTAAAAGAATCAAGAAATGGTTATGATTTATTGGTAAATATATATTTGACCATGTCGCATATATGATTCGCGAGCGGGGTAATAGATGCATCTATGGTTCACGCCCTTCGACCCCTGGCAGTGCACAGTTTACATTTATGTTGGATCAGGCCGAACGTCCTCGGTAGTATTTGTGTGTGATAATAGAACTGGAAGTTCCTTTTATAATTGGTATAAATTCATCATTTGAAAGATTATTTGTTTTAAATGAAGGAAGTGATTTGGGTCCTTAAATAGGGTGATGAATTGTTCAGTTATTTCTTGTTCTGAGTTTTATTGATGTATATATGATGCTTAATTAGAATTTCATATTATCATATTGTTGGCCCTTAGTAAGTGTCAAAGTCGACCCCTCGTCACTACTTCTTTGAGGTTAAGCGGGATACTTACTGGGTACGCATTGATTTACGTACTCATGCTACACTTGCTGCACATTTTTATGGAGGTGTATATATGTCTAGTGGCCTTATGGGCGCTAAAGGCGCAGTTATTGTGGGGATTTAGGTGAGTTGCATTCCATGTTACGAGTCTGCAGTTAGCAGAGTCTCCTTCAGAGTATTTATATTTTTTTGTCCAATTTGTATTCC